TCCTCTTTTGGAAGGCCAAACAAAGTAGTTTTGCTTTCACAACGAAACACACGGCAACAATAACAGCGAGAATCAAAGTTACACCTTTCTTTGCCTGAACATTTGGGTGGCGTTATGCAAATCTTCCCACATTGTGATGTAGACATGTGGAGGCGTGTTAGAACGAGTCGTTTTAGGTAGGCGTGGTTGACTCTGAACTTTTATAAAGAATATCTCTTTAGATTTGAGACTTTAGTCTTTGCAACTTTACAGATCTTCTTTATGCACCAAGAGCTTGTAACACTCCAAAGAGAAAGGAAAAATTTAAATCGCATCATATGACCCCTTTAACAAAAATATCTTTAAAAAACCTTTTGTGGGTATCTTCACAGTCAAATTTATTTTGCGATTAATTAGATTAATTAATCGAAACATCATGTAATTAATTAGATAAAAAATGTTAATCGACTGACAGCCCTAATATATATATATATATGAGCGATATCACTCGAGTACGAGAGCGATACCGGCTCTATATCAGCATGGCTGTGATTAGGCCAGAGGCAATCACAGCCGCTGATATAGAGCCGGTATCGCTTGAGTACGAGAGTGATATTGCGTTTATACAACAGTTAGACGGAACATGTGTGTAATTAAACAAGAAACAACGGAGTGCATAATAAAAGCCTCTTTTGTGCGGAACTACTTCCTTCCGCCACAGATTCAAAGCTCAAGTTGACAGTTAAACATACGTCACTTTTAGAATTCGTATCAAGGGCATGTGCTGCTTCAGTTAGGTTATTAGTGAGAAATAATGAGGTTATAAGAAAGAAACAATGCGGCAAGACGTGCATCCAAATGAGAGAGAGACAGACCGCGAAGCTAGACGTTTCTTCTTAAATTAACTAACGTACTCTACGATTAGCTCAGTGAATAATAAAAAATAAAAAACCGGCTAGAACAAGCGGACTGATACAAAATTGTGAAAGGGCATTCCTGTAGCGATACCAGTACAATCTCACGGTTCTCAACCAATCAGATTTGAGAACCAGAACGAACTGTTGTGTATATATTATATAAAACAATTATTTTATTTAAAAAGTTACAGTCCCCAATCTTTTGACCAATCATGTATAGCAACACATACATATATTTTAATTTAATTCAAATTCATTTTGATTGAATTTTGAATTCTGTTATACTAGACTGAAAGATAAAGATGTGCACCAATACTGGAAATTGTGTAGCAGCCAGCCAATCAAACTAGAACTTGCAGGCAATACAATATTCCTCATATGGCTATGTATTTAAAAAAATTCTTGAACTTCAATAACATGTAATAAAGGTCATATCTAAACCTAATATGACTTTCATAATCACAGTAACAGCAGAATGACATCCAAGACCAATGTGAGTAGTTGTGCATGAGTGCTTTATATAGTCTGTTTTGTTGTATGAAAGCTAGAACCATTATGCAGATATAAAGTATGTACTAAAAGTTCCATTAACCTTGGACAGCTTATCTTGTGTGTAGAGAAATTATATTCTCTTTGAACCTCATATCTATCCTAAAATTATGGAGCTGTCTTCACACCAAGCTACATGTAATGAAACTTACATTGCATTATCTTCCAAATTTCAGGAGAGTGATACAGAGAAAAGATGTGTCAGAAAACAAAAAACAGCTGTCAAAGATGTGATGAGAGTGGCAGAAATGAGAGTGATTAAGGTCAAAGGATATGACTGTTAAGAAGCAGTTTAAAAGCAAGTCATGATCTGTATCAACTTTCATTTGAAATAAATTATAATTTCACTTTGCAAGGTCAACGAATCATAATGCACGATAGGAACTGCGCAGACAACATCTGAACCAAAAGACATCATCACATGTAAAAGTATGGCAAGTGGACGTCATGATCATGAAGTCAAAGAAATGGGGAGGGCAAAGGCTCACCTTGTGATCTCATCATCTCCCAGCATGCCTTTTGAGATAGGAGAGTACCGAGATTGGGTGGCGGGGGTTAATGGCTGACTCGGATAGCTTTGGGTGCTGATATGGTTCTCCATGTGCTGGGAATAGGCTAAAACCAAAACACAAAAGACATGATGTTATTGGCCTATTGATGAAAACTCATTTGACAATGTTCACAAAGGTCAGGACAGAGAATCTCAATATGATTGCACCACTCATATGTGAACCTGGACCACAAAACCAGTCATAAGGGTAAATTTTTCAAAATTGAGATTTATATATAATCTGAAAGCTGAATAAATAAGCTTTCCATTGATGTATGGTTTGTTAGGATATGACAATATTTGGCAGAGATGCAACTATTAACTGAAAATCTGGAATAAAGGGGTGGTTCACTGGGTTTTTTCTAGGCTTGATTGTGTTTATGGGGTGCAGTTTAACGTGGTAATGCCCCCCTCACCTCGACGGCATGTGCTCCGGTTGTATTGTAAAAAACGGTGTCGTTAATGTCGCTTATCAGTTTGAACCCGATTGAGAAGCAGAGGATATTATTGAAGAGGATCGTGCAGAACCTGTGCAAGCACGGCTTTTAATGGTAGGCCTATGTTTTTTGTTTGTTGTTGTCTCATACTTTTAGATACGCTGTTATTTGTAAATGCTACTGCTTATGTTAGCTTTTAATATACAGTTTTATCCTGATTAAAGCTTTAATACAGTACGGCAACTGCACGCGCAGCCATGTTTAACGTTTCTCATAGCTATGTGAAAATGTGTATAATTGTAACAGTTCATTGTTGGAGCTGAGCTGAATGAGAGAGAGAGAGAGAGAGAGAGAGAGAGAGAGAGAGAGAGAGAGAGAGAGAGAGAGAGGGGGAGTGCGT